ACGAAAGCTTATGCTCTAATAAATTTGTTAGTCTCTAAGGTGCCACAAGTACTCCTGTTCTTCTTTTTGATGGTACCTTAAAGATTGATTGTAAATTTGGCACTTGCCTTTGACAGTTCAGTCTATAAACTAAATTGCAGGATTTTCCTGAGGTAATTCTATTGCAGTCAAGTTACTGAATGATAGCTGAAGACAAATCACACAGTATCTCTGTGATGCTTGTTAAGTCAGGCACAGGGTTATCTTAAACTTCACTGTGCTCAAAGGATACTTTTTTCCTGCAGGGTTCCTCTGCGCAATGAATACATTTTCTTCAGAGCCTGAATTACAGTTCAGCCCAACACACTTTCATCCCATGAACATGTAGCACCTGATACGGGTTTTTATACTGTGTTTTCAAATAGGAGCTGAATGTTCTTTTCCTGGCTCCTAGTGTCTTAAACTGGAACATTAAAACGGATTTGAAGGGAACTTCTTAAATACTAATTATGTGCATCTGTCACGTCTTGGGTTAAAATAATTCTAGCATTTATGATGAATGACACTTTTTACAAAACAAAGGGAGATCACTCGTTTATGTCTCCCAAAGTTTTCTTGACGACAGTTCTATAATAAAGATATCACTATGATTTCTAGTAGGTTTTCGTCTGTATTTCTTGCATGTGGGTAATACTCTGGTATTTTGTCCTGGATATCATTGATGTTGCCACTGCTGCTGTGGATAGTATTATTGACGATCTGTTTTAAAGATATCGGCATAGCGCACTTTCTTCCAAGATTATGACAGAAACCCAGAAATGGAGCACAGTAGATGAAGTTTGACATTATGGGGGATGTATTTTTCAGCAGAACATTTATTCGTAGTCTCAATTTTTCAGACTTATCAACTTTAATTTAAAGTAGGATAACAGGCTACGTGGGATGGAGTTAAATTTGGGTCTAAAATAGGTGGTGTGCCTCTTGATAACATACAGCTGAGCTCTAAATTCAGATTCACAGCTGTTGTTTATATAGAAATTTACACAAGGTGATAAGTGGAATAACACTTTTACTCTAACATCACACATTAGCAATCACTTTTAAAGGGGGCCCTATTTATAGAACAATCTACAGGAAAATCCTAGTGATTCTTCACAAGTGGCAGATTGGTGATGTCTCTGGTGGTTTGCTGGGCTCTAGTACTTTAATAATCCAAGGAGGATCGTTGTACATCCTCCCATTCCCTCCTCCACCGGTCAGGATGAGTTTCCAAAACGAGCTGAGTTTTTAAACTGCATGACTTGATGATTTATTACCAAAGGAAAATAAACACCTGGAAACTATACCAAATGCTTCAGGACTCTGGGAATTCATTGGTCTTTGTTTCTGTAAAATTTTATAACTACCAGACGAGTTTTTTTATATTTTTCTGTTTTTAATCCTCAAACACTAGACAAAGTTAAGGCTTTCAGTTTTATTTGTAAATCTAGTGACAGATGGTCTCCCACCTAAGTACTAACCAGGCCTGAGATGATTTAGCTTCTGAGATCAGACAAGCATTTTCTGGTAATTTAGTGCTAGTCTGATAGTGGTGAGAAATGAAGTCCACTTGTAGAACTGATAGGACATGGGCAGCTGCAAACTCCCTCTTTCCCCATTGTGCTTCAGACCTGACCTGGAGGGGGGACCTACCTCTAGGGTGTAGAAGATAGGATGATTTTCTGAGGTTACAACTTGGTCTACTGATTATGGTCAATGGTGATGGTAGGCTTTGTCCTGTTGGACTGGACCACTCAGGATAAAATAGTCGTGAAAGAACCAACCCCATTCACATCATCTGCCAAACAGCTGATAGTCAATGTTGGTTTTTGGTCACTGACCTTCAAAGCAGCGAGCTAGATCTGACATCAGGAATCATAACATTCAAAAACCAGTGGGAGAACACTTCAACCTCTCTAACTACTCAGTGACAGACTTGAAGGTGGCAATTTTGCAACAAAAAAACTTCAAAAACAGACTCCAAAGAGAGCCTGCTGAACTTGAATTAATATGCAAATTAGATACAATTAACTTAGGTTTAAACAGAGACTGGGAATGGTTGGGTCATTACACTAATTGAATCTATTTCCCCA